ACCTTCCTAGATCTTTCACTGCTCTAAACACCTGACTATTCCCCACCTCAGGAAGCCAGAGCTAATGGAACACATGTGTTCAGAGCAGAAACAAAGATGCTCAAGAATGTATGATTCAAACCACCACAGGGAAAAGAAATGTAGTAATGTTGCTGAATCTGCTGCTGCTGCTGCTGCTGCTGCTGCTGCTGCTGCTGCTGCTGCTGCTGCTGCTGCTGCTGCCACTAGATGGTTTCGGGGAAGAGTAAATGACCCAAGACAGCTGATAAAATGAGCTTATGGATGTTTGCAGGTACATCTTGGTGAATCACTCAGATACATTTTGAACAGAATCCTATTTGTCTGTCTGTCCTGACATCCATGAGACTTAAGCTTGTTACTTTAAATTGTCAATCCAGAATGGAAGGATTTGTTTCTGCTCAACATCTGTGGCTTGACTGTCTTCCACTAATGCACAGATGACTGTGTGCTTGTTACCTCTGCTGTGAATAATTACTTAAAAATATATAATAACTCCATTCTTCACAAGTTTGGGATGGTTTGTGGATGCATCACAACCTGTTTTTGAAGTTTTATCTTTGAAACAATGTGGGGTAGTGTTTATAAATCATTGTGAGCCAAAACTAATCCTCTCTCTTTCCTAAAAGCCTTTTATTCCTGTTACTAACCAAGTGTCTTGAAAACCCATGAAATGTAGTAGGTAGCTAGCCTAAGGTCATGGGAGGAGCAAATACCCACTACAATGAAATATTATTTGGAACTAAGTTTAAAATACTGCTATTTGAAATCCAGAAGACAAAAGGGTGAAAAATTTAGTAATATACTTCATGAAAATCAAACGATGACAATAGATATTACCTTAGTTTTAATATGTATTATGAAGGACCTTAAATACGTAAAAATGACTGTTGACTTGACATAGAAGAAAACTCATTTGAATTTAATACTTCATGACTCAAAGACTAAGAGTTGTAGTTTGATTGACAGGGGCATGAATAGTCAATGAAGGAAGGGTAGAAGAGGCATTTGCATTTCACTTTTTTGCTTGCTTTTTTATCATTCACATATCATTTTTCACATGTAAAAATGCATTATGTAATGGTAATTTTATATTTAATAGTTATCATATGGCAACTGAAGGAAATATAATTTCAAAAATTTTACAGTTATCAAAATGAAATGGCAATCAGAAATTCACATAGCAACAGAATATGGCAAATACTTCATACATTCAAAGTAGGCAACAAGCATTTCACATTAGCTTCTTGATGTACTTCATCTTTGATCACTAACTGCATGTGGAAATGCTCACAGTTGCATACACATTGACACCTGTTCACACAGTTAAGTTTTGTTTCTGAATCATGACAACTTCTTCTCTATCACTCACATTTCCATCCCCAATTCTTCATAATCACATGGACCCATGCTGGTTTCTGATTAAAATGCCTTTGCTATTGATGGCCTCAGAAAGTAACAATAAAAATTCCAAACAACATGTAAAATATCAGATTAGCAACCCAGTAGCAAATTAGGATATATATACACACATATATATGAAATAAAACAAGCAATGAAATGCAAGCCACAGGACTTTGCTGAGCCATTAACGGACATGCTCTTGATGATGAACTGCATGGAGGACTAGTTTTGAGATATGTGAAATATTTGCATACTAAAGTATGTTTTAAATAGAAAGATGAATAAATGCGTTCAGATTTTGCTGTCAGTGAACCAGAAAATAAGATGGTATTTTAAATTCATTTTCGACATTATTTGTATGGATGATTGAAGCTTTTGAATATTAAAATGTTCAATAACCAAAGACCATTTTATAGTTATAAATAAAAGCCTGGTATTTAGTTTAATTTTAAAATTTAAAGTAGAAATGAAGTTTATTTGTGATGACACAAAAATATACACATGCACATAACAAAGATTTGCCACAATGAATTATGTATTTGTCTGTATTTTAAAATCAGTTTCTGAATTGAAATTGTATTGTATAACAGCAATATGGGGTACTATATTGTGTGCGTATGTGCATATGCGTGTGTTTGTGTGTGTGTGTGTGTGTGTGTAGAGTGTGGTTAAGAAAGCACGGAAAAAAAACAAAATAGGTCAGGTAATTATTAGGAAGTGTAGTTCAAAGCTTTTGCTTTATTTGTTTATACAGCTTGTATTCACCATGAAAACATTCTACTTTGTTTTTCCTATGTTGATATAGAAATAGGATCTAACAAAATTCTGAGACACAATCAAGGATAATTGATAGTCAATACGATGGAAGCTGATGTCCCTACTTAAAAATCCTTGGCCCTCACCTGGTAGTAATGGCCTGAGATCAAGGTTTTAAACTTAATTGCAGTTTCTATTCTCTTCTGAGCCCTCTATGGTGAGTAGCCTATTTAAGATGTGCAATGACCCTGGATACTGGTCACATTGTCTTTTAGTTTGTAAGGTCTCCTCATTCACAAAGGTGTACCAGAGTCAGTACCAGTGGTTCAGATCTCCAAACTCATAGCTTTTTTCACTGCATTTTCATGGAGTCTTTTGACTGAAAGCTTTTTAACCACAATGATTAAAAATTCACTTCCCCTATTCTTGATCAGAAATTATAGCTACAAAAAAAAAAAAAAATAGAAACTCTGCCATCTTGGGCTAGCGAGATGGCTCAGTGAGTAAAAGAGCTTGTTGCCACGCCAGATGACCAGAGTTCTGTCCTGGAGATTCACAGAGTGAAGGACAACCTGCTCCTTCAATTTGTCCTTTGAGCCCCCTACATACTCTGTAGTACATATGCAGGCATGCCTGCATATGTACATATATATGTACCCTCATTTAATTAATTTAAGAATAAGCTTAATACCAAGACTGCAGATGAATTTCTAAATGGTCTTATTAAATAAAAAAAAAATGGAGCCAACTATAAGGGTGAACGCCTTAGAGAGATCCAGGAAACAGGGAAAGCCACCAGCCAACCTTACCTCACCAACTCTGCATCTTACTTCCTGTCTATCCACACCTTTATTTCCTTGCTGTTCAGCCCTCTCATTGGCGATTTTAGCCCAGCTACCTCACTTCCTTGACACTGTCTGTCTGTACAGACCTCCAGGTCTCTATGGTTGGTACTGGGATTAAAGGTGTGTGTCACCACACTTGGCTCTGTTCCCTAGTATGGCCTTGAACACACAGAGACCCCACCTGCTAAGTGATCAGATTAAGGGCATGTGCTGTCTCATTTCTTGTTTACTTAAAATGGCTGGCCTTTCTCCCCTGAACTTCAAGCAAGCTTTATTAAAGCACAAATAAAGTATTACCATATTTCTCCATTTTTTTTGTCTAATAAAAATAAAAAAATAAAAAGTTATAACTAATATAAGAAAAACTATATACAATAAGCATAATAACTATATACAATATATACAAGCAATAAATACATCAACAATGTCTAGTGCATAAAATATTCTATTATCTATCCTATTTTGGTGAGTCCAAAATGTACCTAATTCACTATCTATCCTAACTTGCATTATCAACAGAAAACTATTTTATGATATCTTTCAAACTTATATACTTTACACCTCTTACTGGCTTTCTTTTCTGAATTTCTTAATGAGGAAAAGTGTTACTACAACTATCTAATCTTCAACTCCCTCAGAGACCCAAGAAGGAAATAATATTACCTGGTAAAACAGGGAGTGCAGTTTTAATTAATATAAGCCTCTCTGTGTTTACTTGGGTCTGAGAGGCTGCGGACCGGGTGGGACACAGGAAAGATTCCAGCTACACAAAACTACTACAATATTATATTATTATTATTTATAATATCACATCATTATATAACATGTTATCCATATCATTGTATTATTGTATAACTTGGTATATAATACACTATTATAGTGCTATATAATTTCATAATATATAATGAAATACAATATTAACATTTAAAGAGAGAAAAATATGCTAATTCCTCTACCACCGCTCCTCCTCCTCCCCTGCCTCCCACTATCAGATCAGACTAGATCTATTCTGGAAAACCCAAGGTTAGCAAGATTCTGCTCAAGCTCCTGGTTTAAAGACCCCACATCATTCTTTTCGAACCCATTCAGTATAGGCCACAGGCTATGACTACACTAAGCACTCGATGTTCTGGACTATCTTTTCTCTTTCCACTTTTTACTCATTGCTTCTTTGCCTTATAAAATCCTACCCACTTATAGGTCAGCTCCAAAGGTTGGTTCTTTTCTAAACTGTTCTTGTGCTGCTCAACAGAAATCATCTCCTTTTGAGTAACTTCCTCCTCCTTGAGCATTTCTGATCACTGTTTGTGCATATCACTTCCCTTTCTGTGCCTTAGTTGAGATGATGATCTCAGCCAAGAACCACAGTCTATCCTCCCTTCCACAAGGCCTATTACTGGGTCTGGGTCAGAACTGCTTGAATGAACGGGAAGTACAAAAGCAGTCAAGCTACATGTTTATTTGGAAAATTTTAATGAGAATTTGTTTGCAGTGTGAATATATTGGTCAGCATCTGAATTATCTTGGTGAGGCCTCCGATTTAAGTTTGATTTAAGCAAGGTACAGAGATTTATATATCAACTTTACTATTATAGCTTAATTAAACAAAAAGAGTGTCTTTGAAATAATGCTTTTACAAAGAGGATAGGTATCATTGAAGATACTGTGTTTTTTTTTTAAACAGGTATTTTTAAAAAATGGTACTTTGAAGCACTAAGCATGATATACCCATCTTCTCGGGTTCGTTACTATGCACTACATTAAGCTAGATCTTAATTCATAGAAGCCCAATCACTGACATGAGTTTTTAAATTTACTTGAGACAGGGGTTTACATTTTAATTACAGTGTGTATATATATTGTGCACATGATTTCTTAATAAATTTCATCCATCCTGTAAGACAAGACACATTAAAAAGAAAAACTTTAGTGAAATTGTAGATTTTTTTTTAGGTGAATACATAGGAAACAACTTACCCCCAGTTGCCACAGTGATTTCACGTAGAAAATGACCATAAAATGGAAAATCGAAGGACAGGTTCACTCTCTGTAAGAAACAACACCGAAAAAAGAAAAAAATCAATAATGTGAAGAATGGTATATGTAAACTAGAAAGCTTTTCAATTAAAGCTAAATGATGTTTCTCCTTTACTCAATTGGTATTGCAGTTGACCTTAAAAACTAAGTGTTGGATGGCACTAAAGAACATATTTTTCGCAATTACATTTCTGAAGCAAATGAAAAGAATAAAATTAAGTTATTATGGTCTATTAGCCTCCTTTTCTTTTTACAAAGAGTATCTGGAAATTTAAATTCTAAATAAAGTTATTTTCTCTCAGTCCTTACCACTGTTATTTTATCATTTGCCAAGATCTTTCTGTCATTTGATGAGTAATTTGATATTTGGGAATAGTTTGTTTTTTTTACCAGTTGATTAAAAACCAGTAGATTGAAAAACAAAGATAGTGCTTTTTACACTATTATGGCTTTGTTTATTGTTTTTATGTAAATCTAAAATAAAAAAAATGACTGATGGAAGATGATGTCATGGACCTGTAGATGCAGATGTTAAGGCATCCTCATGTTCGTTTATTGCAGTGAGCTATGCAGACATAGCATATCGTGTTTATTTGAAAAGCACATAGTTGCAGGATGAGCAGTAGCTACTGCAGAGTTACTTCGATTTGGTACAGGGGAAATTGGATAGATTCAGGTAGAAGGTTCAAAAGTCTTACATTTTTTGCCTTCCAAAAGGAGCCTAGGTCATCAACAATATACATTAGTGTTAAACCAAATATACCCATGCAATTTAATATGTTAATTGAAATTGCATGGGTATATTTGGTATACAAGACTAGTAAAATACGACAGAATAGCTTTTGTATGCCTAAAGCATTATGAGTCAAGACACAAGAACATGCAACACATAACACAATGACCTAAAATTAATAATTTATCTGTCTATCTGTCTGTTATATATGTATGTATATATTTCATCTATCTATGTATATATATACATATATGCATTTATTTGTATTCAAAGGCAAGTTAATTAGCCTGGGTTAAAGTTCAACAGCATTTGCAGACTTTACACAAGGGCTATTACGTTAAAATCCAACCATATCTACATTCCATTTCTATGAATCTACAAATTAAAATGCAGAAGAGTATATCTATTGGAATTTAGTTCTCTCCAATTTTGCAAATGATTGCCTTTTCATATCCTTCAGAGATTTCTAATGACTTATTTGGCACGAAGTTAATCATTCAGAATCTACAGTGACTTTCAATTAGTTTTTCTTTCCTTTCTCTTGAAACCCACATTTTCTTAAAATGTTTTTCATCACGTTTATTTTATGTTAACAGTAAAATAAAAATGCTTTTACTGTGCCACTTGGAATGAGTGGCCATTGATAACACTAAAATGAAAGCAATAATACTAAACTGATGTGTCTGAAAGATGTCAAAAATAATCTGATGAGGGTAATTATCATAATGGACAGAATACCACCATTCTAATGTCTTCCCATTATCATTAGTAATTGTACATTCTCACTACCATTTCACTTTAAATACTTGTCACTAACAAACCTAGTTTTGACCAAGAATGAAAGAGAATCACATGATATATGTTTTCTCAGACACTGCAGGTATTTAAATATGTTTTGAGTTAGACTATGGTGCACAAATAACACACAAGCTAAAGAACCTTAAATAGGCATTGAAAGAAAACTTAAGAATCCATCATCTTCAGGAAACACATCTGTGTTTGAACCACTTCCCTACTAAAATGGCCAACTTATAAACCTATCACCATGGCATTCTCTACCCCTTACAATAGCAATGTGGATAGCACTGCTAAATGTATACATTCTCTTGAGTCACTGCTGAGAACTTCCCCCAACACACACATACACACACACACACACACACACACACACACACACACACGCACACACACACACACACACACACACACACACAAACACACACACACATTTCTTTACAGATCCTTGGGTCCAGTACTCCTTGAAGCTACTGTCTAGCATCACTTTGTTACCTTGTTCTAAAATCCTTTAGTCTGCAGTCTTTTGTCCCTGAGAATAACAGAAATACTTAAGAATCACACTTAAGGCCTAGCCATAACTAGAACGTGTTACTGGACAGCTCTATACCTTATAGTCCTCATGCCAGCCATAAACTGCAGCTTCTGGTTCTTTATACCCAATACTCTTAGCTTCTGGCTCCTGTCTTACATGATACATGAACCTCCCTTAGTCACGGTTTCTATATATTCTTTCAAGTGTTACTCTAGTTTGAGTTGTGCCTCCAAGTCAACACATCTAATGACTGAGAAAAATTCGTAACAGAAAACAAAACATAAAAACTTCATGTGCAAGAGACTGCATATACATGCCCAAATGTATATGTAATGTGTATGATGGGGTATGGGGGCTGCATGTATGATTCATGGGCATGTTCCCGTATGAAGGTAGACATGCACAGGAAGATCAGAGGTGTGTGTAGAAGGTTCTCATTTTCTACTTTGTTAGATGTGGGGCCTCTTTTCTTTTGTTGTTTGCTTTCATGCATGACAGACTAGGTGGCCCAAAATGTACAGGGATTATCCACTCTGCCTTCCATCTTGTACCAGGATTGAAGATTACAATGGCTTTGTATGGGCTTAGGGATTTCGTTTCATATTCTCATGACTCTGCAGAAAGAACTTTACGGACTAATCTATTCCTCGAGCCTAGATAGAACCTTTGTTTGGGAGGGTGATCTTGGAAGATACATGCTGAGAGATACAGGGATATTGTGGGAAAAATAGTATAAGACAGGGGACATGTGATGCATCCCTGTGTAAAGTTTCTGCTATACAAGCATAAAGATCTGAGTTTGGATACTGAGTACCCCACAGCAAGCTGGGCATTAACCCCAGAGGTAGGATCTGGAAAAAGTATATTCTGGGAAACTTGCAATCCAGACAATCCAGTCCCACACAGTGAGTTCCAGGTTCAGTGAGAATCCCTGTCTCAGAAGATAAGATAGAGAAGCAATTGAGGGAAACAGGCTGATGTTAACACCTGGCATCCACATGCACCTACACAGGTGAATACACTCACACATACACATATGGACACATGCATATGCAACCATATGTAACAGACACACACATGAAAGACAAAAACCAAGAATGACTGGGTACTACACAGGATACACTACACTGTAGTCCATAAACACAAAAGAACAGATAATCCAATTTACAATGTTCAAGTAATCTGAACAGTTTCTGTCAGTAAGCTCTTTGAAACACTGGGGAACATGCCTGAATATCACTGGAGGGCAGGAAGCGGTACATTCTTCCAGCAACTCATTCTCTGTATTGACTCAGGTTGCTCAACTGTCTTCCAACTTGCACCATGCCTCAGGCAGAAAGAAGAGATATCACTCGAGGTAGGAAGTTATTCATATGTAAGAAACAACCCTCCATTAGTGGCCGGTAAAGAATCAACAAGGGCCACTAAGAGGGGATTTCAGAGTTCAGTCATTGTTTCTTAGCTCAGGTTTGTCCTCCCAGAATAAATCACTCATCAGTCTCAATATCTAGATGTACAAACTGAATGGCTTTACATGGTCTTATTTTACAACCACTTCAGTGTGAAAACTACTCAGGGTCAGAGTGGTTAAGTATGGCTCAGGGAGGAAACTAAGACTTTGAACCTAGGTTGGATTACAGAGGCAATGATTTCAAATACTGAGATACAAAGACAAAATTAAGAAAATAATTAGTATCTCACCTAAATGAGTGTTATAGTAAAATATCATTATAAACAATTAAGCACTAGAATTTTATTAAGTGCCTTCAAGTCAAATGATTATTCAACATAATTGCCCATAACTAATTAGATTATTATTTTTCCCAGGATGATACATATAAAAGAGTTGCAGGCAAGGAAAAGGAGTTGTATTTGTTCATGTTTTCACTCTTCATTCATCCTCTTGTATGAAACAGGCAGCCAGGACAGTGAGGAAGGTTCAAAGTCTCCTTAGTGATGGGGAGAGTATCATTGAAGGATCCATAATAGAACCATATGGAGGAAAAGTATCATGTAAAAGTAGTATTTGAGCCTAAGTTCATGGAACCGAAATTGACTTTTTAGACAGGAAATACCTTAAGTTCTTCACAAGGACCTTAAGGTAAGACCCAAAGCTTTGAAACTGCAAGAGGAAACCACATGAGAAACCTATCAAGACAGGTAATAACTTTCTGAATAGCACTTTTGTTGACCCAAAGATAATAGCAAGAACTGACCCATGGGACTGCAGCATACTACAAAATCTCTGTACAGCAAAGGAAACAATGACCACAGTGAAGAAGAGATGGCCTATAGAGTAGAAGAAAATCGTTAGCACTGGTTCATCCTACTGACACTTACTATCTAGAATATATGAAGACCCCAAAACAGTAAAAATCAGGAGTAATCCAATTAATAAATGGGAAAATGAACTGAAAAGATACTTTTTATATAAAGAATTCAAAGTTAATAAATACATAAAAACACATCCAACAATTTAGAGAAATTCACCTAAAACCCTGATATTCCATTTCACCCCAGTCCAAGTGGCTGTCATTGAGAAACACAAATAATGAAACAATCAGAAGTTGATGAGGATGTGGTAGGAAAAGGGACATATGGTCTAGCTATATCACTCCTGGGTGTATACCTGAAGGAACCTAAAGGCAACACACCACAGAGTTCTTCATATACCTATGTTTACCATAGAATCATTCTGAAGAGCCAAATTACAGAATCAGCCTAGGTAGCTATCAGTGAATAAACGGACAAAGAAAATGTTGCACCCATACAGAATGGAGGGCTATTGAGCTGTTAAATAGAACTCAATCATATTATGTGCAGGAAAATGGTTGGAAAATGGTAGATATCATTATGTAAGTAAAACACTAGACTCAGAAAGGCAGATACCATATGTTTTCTTTCATATGTGAAATCTGGAAGAAAATAAGAATGCATAAGGGAAAAT